GAACCGCATAAAGCGCGTCTCGAGCCCATCCCCCAAAAGGCCCAAGTATCATTATAGCAGGCTCTTAGCAGACGTTTGCGTCCCGAAAGTATATACTATACTGTACACTTGGTCTCTTTGGGATCAGCATTGGCTTCCGAAGCTCTATAAACCCTAAACCCTTTTCAGCAGGGACTGAGGTGCCGGCCAGCGCCCATGCAACCCTTACCCTAAACCCTATAAACCCTATAATCGCAGATTCCTAAACCCTGAACCCTAAACCCCAGTTGATTCCTAAACCCTGAACCCTAAACCCTAAACCCTAAACGCTGAACCCTAAACGCTAAGCCCTAAACCCTAAACGCTGAACCCTAAACGCTAAGCCCTAAATGCTAGTCCATACCCATAGGCTCCAAAGTAGTTCCTTTTTGGGATTACCTTATAGGATCCTAAATATGAACCGCAAAAAGGAACTACTTTGAAGCCGATGGGTAAGGCTTCGGAAACCTGGGCCCCGGGCGCGAGACCGAAGATAGCCGAGACGCCCCAGAACAGCGACTGCCTGAGCGTGGCTTGCGGGGCCTAAGGGCTTCAGCAAGCCAAGTGTGGAGGGCTAGGGTCTTCGGTTTAGGGTTTAGGGTTTAGGCCCTATAAACCCTAAACCCGTTTAGGGATGGGGTCTGGCAGGATCGGGCTAAGGCTTCTAAGGCTTAAGTTGTCGAAAGGTTCAGGGGTCTAGGGGGATTTGGGGGGCAAAGAGGTTAGGGTGTACCCGAATGATGTAGTCAGTAATCCAAAGGCCAAAGGTAAACTGTTCACTGATATTTAGCTATAGATTATGCGGGCGTCAAAATCGAGGGTTGGGCATTGGACTGGCAAGAGTTTAGGACCCAGGCTTTGCTTTGTAGGCTGCAGCTTGCGGCGACAGGGGTGGGGACAAGGGCTTTGGGTTATCCTGTCAGAGTCATACTACCAACCTTACTTCTTCAACGGGTTTCAAGGCCTGCCTCAGTCGCAGAAATCTCACGACCATGCACCAAACCACCAAAGCAACTCCACACTGCGCCCGCGCAATCCCCCAAAAAAGCAGAGCAAGCGTCAGCAGGGTTAGAGCCAAAAAGGCTTGCTTGTGCCAGGACTAGTTGCGTAGATGAAGTTTAGCATAGTTCAGTGCCTAGCCAAAGGCCCCAACCTACATGAAACCCTCAAGCCAACATTTCCACCAAAAGGAACCGAAGCAACCAAGCTGAAACCCCAAATCCAGCTTAAGGCCTGCTCAAACGAGGAACCCGTACAGCCCAACCTTGCGTGATCCCACGGCTATTTAGGAAGGCCGCAGATCGGACGCATGCTTCGGCACTTGGCGCGACAGTTCGGCAGCCTTGTCAAGCCCCAGCCAGTGTCTAGGGTTTAAGGTTGAATCAAGGCGTAGCTGGGTTGGAGTAGAGGCCCTGCAAAACCGTAAACAGGCCCCATAGAAGCCCAGTTTCCAGCAAGGTGCCTGCTGCCCTTACAGAACCGGAATGTAGTCAATAGCACGTTGCGCAAAAAGATAACCCAATTTTGTTGTAACTTATTTTCGGGCCTCCGAGCTTGGTTATAGAGCGGCCTTAGTAATTACAGTACGTAGGGGTTGGGTCTATGTTATATTGACTTTATAATAGGACCATAATGCTGATACCCTAAACCCCAAGCCCTAAACCCTAATTAACATTAAAGGGCTCGTGCTGATACCCTAAACCCCAAACCCCAACTAACATTACAGGGCTTCAAGAAGACAGAAACTCGGCCCGGGGACTGCTACGGCTTGCTTGTAAGATCCCAATGCTTCAAAGATACCATGGTGTCTAGTCCTTCATGGCCACGACAAAAAACATGCTCTTGAAGAATTCTGTAGGGCCGTCGGGATACCCGGAACAGCTATACTCTGTGACTTCTGGGCCTAGGGTTTAGGATTATGCTTGATTGACGGTAGGGACCATGTCGAAATCATTGGCCTTAAAGCCTGCGATCAACATTCTGAAGAGAACCTCTGAACGAAAAGCCTCAGACAGTCTGTTGCATGCTATCCGCGGTCCATGATGTACATATGTGCTTGAGCTCCTTTCCGGACTTCACTGCTCAGCAACTTACACGTTTGAGTTTTAGAGAAATAGTCACGCCATAGTAGAAGAACCCTCAACCCTCAAACCTTAAACCCTAAGAAGCCTTACTAATTTATTAAAAGACCCCGGATCTCAAGAATAAACCCAGGCTCAGATCCTGCGCCGCCTGCAACATGATGCAAAAACAAAGGGGTGTGGAAAGCTCGGAGTTTAGATTTTTGCGTACATAAGCGGTGTTTAGGGCTTGGGGTGTAGGATGTTTCCGCACCTATACGGGTTGTAGGTCAGGGCTTTGGATTTGCATCCTTGGCCTAGCATGGACCAGTCGAAACTGGTGGACCGTACCTTGCCATCCACGATCACGTCCGTCGTGGAGACTGAGAGGTTAATCACAATCATCACGACCACCTGGAAAAGCGATATTGACCCTGTAGGCCCCAATCCATAGGACTTGGCGTTTCGGATGTGGGTAGCATAGCTTAGAGTGCTTAGGCTTTGGGACCATGGCCTTAGAATTTCAGGGTGGGACTCTGCGTTCTGCGTTTAAGGCCTTAGCACCACGTTTTGCGAGCTGTGAGGCTTTGCAGTGAAACTATAGGATGAAGAGTTTCCACGGGCTTTGATCCAAAAAATACAAAAAGGGCTTCTCACGGTTTCAAAGCACTTTTCCGCCTGGCTACAAGATGCAAGACACCACCGACCGTGGACTCGTTCTAAATAGATGGTCTAATGTACGACGCAGAAAGGGACTTACAACCCTAAACCCTAAACCCTAACGCGCAGCGCCATCCCAACTCTTCGGAGCGGCTACAGGTACAGGCCACAAACGATAACAGAAGGGCCCTTCTGGCTAGAATCGGGTCTTGGGGTACATGGCGAGGGGCTGTCAGGCTGTCAGAAGACATTATGTAGGTACTATGTACTATTTGTTCAGACAGTTCAGACACCATGAGGAGGCACATGGCAAGAGCTCAACCAAGACCGACAGCCCCAGAACTGCGTCAATGCCAGAGCCGCGGTCTCCCTTTCCCAGCTAGAGCTGACAAGGCTTAGACTTGAGACTCAACATGATTCGGGATGTATGAGAAATCGAATCGTCAGCTGGGACATTCCTAGGGCTTTGGGGTTCCTGGGGTATATAGGGTCTCATCACAGCACCTTTGTCGAGGGTATATAGCCCTGCTACTTCCAAGCGCCAGGGGAACGAAGCCTGCAGAAGCCTTGAGACTCGAATTTGCACCCCTCCATTCCCAAGTTGGTGCGGAAGCGGTACTGCAAGCAATGACATAGAGGTGCTGCTCACGGAAAGTTGCCGTTTAGAACAAACTGTCTACGGAGTAACAGAGTGAAACTTAGAGGACGGCTGGCTCAAGCCCCAAGCCAAGGACGGCAGAGGACCGGAAACAACTAGTAGAAGCGATCGGGTATACCCCACCATCCCATGTCTGCAAGCAATTAGGATGCAAAAGTGCCCGAGAAGCGAAAGTTGGTTCCCAAATTGGCGGCAAGAACGCTCCAGCTATTTCTCTCAAGAAGCTCCACCCGATACCGCACAAAGACGCTTGAGGTTTGGAGATCATTCCTTGCCTGATTCATAAACCCTGCATATTGAGCAAAGGGATCATCATGGGGAACCTAATCTATTGTTGCCCTCAGAGAGCAAGAGGTCTATTCAACAGGGGTTTACATTACACTTTGCTTACAATTTACAGTTGAACGAAGCACCATAAGAGATACGACTTCTAGTTAGCTATTCCTAAACCCTCAATTCCAAGTACTCGACGATAAACCGGATTGTTAGTTCCCCCTTAAGGGTGCATTTACGCTGCCATGGTGGACGCAGGTCTCAGCAGATCATCCCCATGAAATGGTGTTGGGGCACCTAAGTCCATAACAGTGGCTGATGTGGGGGTTTCCGAAAATACTGGATCCGAACATAGTACCCTAAATAGTCGGATCCTTGTTATAAGGACCCCAAATAAGGTACCCCTTATTTTCGGAACTTCCCATATGGACCCTCTATCTCTGGCTGGGCCACCAGGGCAGCCGCTGGCAACGCCAAGGTCCCCAGCAGAATGTACGAGGCGAAGCCCCCGGCTGCCTGCTGTTTCTAGGGTTCACTAGGGTTCAGGGCTTCCAGCTCTTAGGGCTTAGAGGGTTTAGGGCTTGGGGCTAAAGGAGGGCTTCGGGCTGAGAGGGTTTAGGATGTACAGGTTTTAGGGTTTCGGGCATTAGGTCTTTGGGCTTAGAATTTAGCAAAGTGTAGAGGGTGTTGTCTCTCACAACTGGCACGGGTCGGGCGATGCGTCTGAGCAACGATGGTCCATCTAGCAGCCAAACAATCACAGAGGGTTCAGGGTTTGGGGCTTCAGGCCTTGAACTTTGGGTGGAACGTTTCGGTTCCTAGCCCAGCTGAAACGCTGTTAGCAGCTGGGGCGTGTGGGCTTGGGATTAGTCTATCGACGGCCTCCGATTTGCTGCTAGCTGGATAAGCCCCTCTGCAGCAAGCGCTGGATTCGAGTGTTAAAACCCTGCAAGGAGTCTCATGTAGGGCATATGTAGGGGCCTGACTGACTGGAAAAAGGCGCTTGCTTGTTTTGTTTTGTTGTTGCTTTCTGGGTGCGTATTTTGCGATAGTTCTGTCAGGGACTCGCATGCGACACTCTTACGAAATACTGAAAAGCGCTACTGCAAATCAGGCGTCGGCAAGATTAAGACTCAAGGAACCCATAGCCAAACACTCCGTCAGCTGCAAATGCTAGAGGACGGGTGCAATGGCCCCCAGGCAGCACCAAACCAAGCAGGAACAACTTGTGCATATCAGCTGCGGCAACGACGATGTAGGATCCTCGCTGACGCGACAAAGCAGCTCCACATCTCTGTCTTCAGCTGCGAAGTGTCGATTTGGATAAACACTCAGACATCATGTGTCTGTAGAGCCATGCACAAGCCAGGCGGCGGCGGTGGTAGCCGCAGAAAGCGATACCATCGGACAGCATGCCCATGAAGGGCCTGAGCACCGTTCGTTAAGGGTTTAGGGTCTGGGGATTCGGGTTTCAGTTTAGATTATGTTCTTCTGATGCTCTGACATTATTGATCGTGGAGCCACTGAGAGCTTGTGTGCAAATGCTACCCTAAACCCTAACCTCTGGGAATTGAATCCAAGCGGCTTCATGTTCCATGGAAGCCCTGCGGCTGTGGTTAGCCGTCCCATGGTAGCACCATCCAGTCCCAACACGTCCTTGCGCAACCACTGGAGCGTTGTGGAAACGCTTCGTGTGGTCAAAACACATGGCAATGCATTCAGTGACGTCAAAGGCAATTTACTACAGCATGTGTGACAGTATTATCGTAGTATGAGCCAAGGCAACCAAACGAAGAAGAGACACCAGACAGAAGCACGCGAACTACTTTGCATCACCATCTCAAGTAGGAAGCTAATGTGGCCGCACTGCCGCACTAGCTCCAGATCCTGACATTCTCAAGGCGCCCCATTATATTCGACCCTGAATCTCTGACGGCTCTAGCCACTGCCAGCTGTAGCTACGGTCCACTGTTGAGGCACCAAAGACTGCTTGAGGCTTGAGGCTCGGGATAAAGCTGAGGCAGCTTGCTCAGGTCTCCAGACTTTTAGTCGCAAGTTGCGTTTTTCTCTTGCTACGGAAGGGCCCGCTCACGAACCTAGCCGTCCCCAAAGGTCCGTCGTATGCTTAGGGGTTAAGCCTTGCAAGGCTTCCCACTCTACGGCGGATGTATACACTAGTATGCGCACATAACCTTTTGCACTTATGCGCTAAAACCCGAAGCACACTCTTTACGTACATGGAACCATAGGGAGTGCCAAATTACATAACAAGAAATGCCAATGTTCTGAAGCTTGAACATGGTCTCTGAACCCAGGGACGGGCTAAGGGTATGCAGGGATTGGGGCTTACTAAGTTTCAGGGCTTCGGGGTTTCCGGTTCAGGTAGACTTAGGCTTGTGGTTCCGAATTCAAGGCTTTAGGGTTTCGGTTTGGGTAGAACGCCCCATGATTTCCGACAGCTTCCGGATGAGGCTTTTGGGGCAGTGGGCCGCAGAGTCCGGCTGGGCCCAGGAGAACAGTAGATTTGCTGCGGCAGGGATCCACTGTTTCAATTCCCAGACGAGGCTCTTTCATGTAGAAGCGAATGGCGAAGCCTCCTATGGCCCATGCAACGCTCTGGTTCACGCCGTAGGTTAGCACTGCAAATGGGATGAAGTTGCCAAAGGCTGCCTGCCAGGCAAGTATTCTAGGAGCCAACATTACATAGGTTGGGGACTGTAAGGGGCTATCATTACCAAGTCTTTCGACCCCTGTTATCATTGCAACCGCCAAAACACTCGGGGGTTGGTGTAAGGTCAATGCTCAACACCCTGATCCACCAGCCGTACTCGGAGCATTGGGACTTGCAGATTGACGTACACCCTGAAAGCCAAAGCCGGCAATGACAAAGAAATAGAAACATGGTAGGCCAGCCCATATCTGCCCTCTAGCGGGTCAGCTTCAGCATCTGGGAACTTCAACCTTTAATATAATGGGCTAAATCTAACAATACCTGTTGTTGAAGTTATTTTGGACGCTCACACTCGGACAAAGCCAGGCAGCTGATGTCACTACGTCATGCTGCTAATACGAGTGGTGTCATTGAGACTGAGTGGTGTCATTGAGACTAGTACTACTACTGCTACTACTACTGCTGCTGCTGCTGCTACTGCTGCTGCTGCTGCTGCTACTACTACTACTACCACTACCACTACCACTACCACTACCACCCACTACTAATTACTACTGCCACGACGACGACGACGACGAGCACGACATCCAGTAGTGTAGCTGTTATTATCAATACTATTCGGTTGATAGCTAGCCGAATATTCATATTATCAGTATTGCCAATCGTGTTATATTGCTCTTGAGATGATAATACTGCTGGTGTTTAGGCTGGCTTTGGATTTCAAGCTTTGCCACGTCTTGTAGAATCCAATCGTGTCGTAATCTAAGGAATTCAAGATCAAGCACGGGTTTCGGTGCATGTAGTAGTCGTAGTATAAGCCAGGAGATGCATGTATGAATCAGGGTGCAGGGTAAGTGGAAGTTTCAGGCAACCCAAGACGATACGCATCAGGCATTCAAGCTCGTGTCTTTATCGGCCCATCACTCGATGAGATGAGGTACGTAGAGCTCACGAAGCCAGTGCCAGAAGCATCTCCGCTGTGCCTGACTTCAGGGCTCCAAGTTTCGAGTTTTTAAATGCCCGAATCCACTTGTCGTGGGGTACCCGCCTGTCAATGCGATTTTTTGGTTAAGATAGGACCCTACCGAATACTTCACAGTAGGATTCAGGACCTTAAACTGGAACCTAAACATCGAGGGTTTGCTTCCGTGCTTCCGGGTCCTAGGAAGGCAACAGCTGCGTCTGGATCAAGCGACATATGCTGCATGCCCTTTCGTGTGTTCTGTGGTCTCAGGGTTTGGGGAAAGTAGAGGTTTATGGCTTCATATACCTAATCAGTATGACTTATGCAGCAATAGGACAGAGCTGGTAGCCGCGACTTGGAGGATCTCTGCGTATCTAGCACCGGAGCGTTCCCGGTGCAGTCCTCGGACTTCTATAAGGCAAACCGTGCAGGACTCTAAAGCAAGCATCAGGCTTTGTTTCTCTGAATAAGCGGTGCCTTAAACTACCATAACCTAGTTTGCTCGCAGTTTCTAAGTATATAGCCGTCGTCTTGGCCAAATCTTCAAGAGGGCTACCTAATGTCTAGGGCCTGGAGAAAACTTTGCGTGTTAGGGTTTAGGTTTAAGCAGGAGCTTTTAGGGTGTCCCTTTTCTGGGCGCCTTCTCTGCAACTGGAATATCTTTTGTTGGCTCCTCCTCTTCCAGCTCGATGCTGACCTCGACAAGAAACTTCTCTGTGATTTGCCTAAGCCTACCTGCAGCCCCCAACCCTACCCCGTTGAAACCACAATGAGGAGCCCTCCAAAATACAGATGTGTGGGGCCGTGAACCTTGCAACTCAACTTCACAAGTTCTACCAATCTACAACAGGATGCTGGTTAGGCTTTCGGGCCCGGAGTTCTAAAGGGGGAGAGACTGAAGGATCTTACTCTTCAAGTGTGCCGTGCAAACCATTTCAACAGCGTCTGAACTCCTGAAATGTCTGTTGGGTAGCCAGCCTATAGGCCAGCAGTAGCCCAAGCTTCATGGACATGTGTCGACACCGAAACCAATCGAAGACAAAGGTACCTTGAGGTTGAAGGTGATGGGCCCCCAAACACCCGAAAAGCCATAGCCCTTGCCCAGGACATGTTGGAATCAACTTCTACGGCCAAGGGAGGGGGGGTTGGAGTTCGACGGACTCGACATCCTGGACTCCGCTCCGAGGCTGGCTGGCTTCAAATTACAGATGCTACAGGTCTCAAGCAAGGAGCCGCAACCGGGATCTACTAATGATGACTCTGCGCCTCTCTTCGATGACTTTAAATTTGGTGCTAGGCTAAAACATCGGAACGTCCAGGGGCCGTGTCCGTTGTCGAGACAGTTCCGCCGCTCTTGGTCCTTGGACACCGAGCGTTTGCCGGGAGGTAGTCTACACCCTGCTTGGAAGGACGAGCTGGGCTCAACATAAGGTTACCACCCTAAACCCTAACTTTCCTGCCTTCCCACACCGTGAATCTCAAGCAACGCCTTATAGGGCAAACTCGAAACCGTGAGACTCGCGGACTTAAGGACTCGACTGGGGTTTTGGGGCATTTTCTTCTACAGCTACCAGAGGGAAGCCTCGGAATTACTATGCCCAAAGCCTGTAAAACCCACCCTAAACGCCCTCCCCTGCCCTGCCCTGCCCTGGTCTGCCTTGCTATACCTGCTCCTATTTGGAATAGGTTTGGCTGGTTTGGCACGGCGAGGGGTGGGAGAGAAAGAAGGAAGAGCCGTCTATAGACAGGCTTTGGCAGCTTCCACAGATCATGAGTTGAGGAAAGCCTCGGAACTCTTTCGGACAGCTTTGGAGAGTCAGATTGATGATCCATGGCACCGGTTTGCCTGAAAGAGCTTCTGTTTAGGGCTTTGGGTTGGGGTTGGGGGTTTCCGGTTTAGGGTTCTTCCTTAAAGGATCTATGTAGCATGCACTTAGGACTTACTGGGGCCTGAAATAGCGAGGCACCTGAAAGCCACCATAATTATGCACTGCACATGCGACCCTGAAGCCCTACAATGCCCAAACCGCTAGATTGGATAACTCGGTGCGGCTCCTGCTTCGACATGTTCTTGTTTGGGGTGCCATTCTTCATCCAGGGTCTGGGAACCGATCGTGTCTAGAGAAAAGAAGGCCTGTCAGTTGCTCCCCCCCTCAAAAACCAGGATCGTGGAACACATGCGCACTGAAGGGTTCCTCAGCTTAGTTGAACACCACACCTCTCAAAGCGCACAAGACAATCCATCAGTCTTTCCTACTCTCTCTACGTCCGCACTACTACCATAGACCAACAGCCTCAAAGAGGCCCCGCCTGGCTCGCAACTCAATGTTGCAGGGACTGTACAAAGCTGCTTGAGGTTGCGGCGCACTGCGGTAGGAAAGGCCCGGCTGGCTTCTCAGACTTCTGAACATGTACTGTGGGGGCCTTCACAACTAAGACAAAGCTTGTGTACCATATACAGTGAATGCATTAAGGGCTGCAAAGTAATTAATTCAATCATCAAGTATTCGGAACCGTATGGCCATAGTAATTAACTTAGCAAGCATTCGAGAATGTATGGCCATGTAGCACAACTGCCCTAAATAAAATTGCTACTCTAAGCCGGTGGTATCGGGCTAGTGTTGCTCAGTTGTGAATGGCGGCTACTCCCCAAAACCCTAAACCTGTAAACCCTAAA